TGAGGAGAGAAGGGCCTGGCCCTGGAGGGTGAAGAGGGGAACAGAGCCCAGGCCTCATAAACAGGCATCGCTGCCAATCAGGGCATGGACCCTCTCCCCATGTTGCCCTCTAGGGCCAGGCCTTGCTCCTCTTGCCGCCCTCCAGGGCCGGCCCCTGCTCAACCTGCCACTCTCCAGGGCAGGACCACGCTCCCCGCCTCACCCTCCAGGGCCAGGCCCTGCTCCCCTCCTTGCCCTCCAGGGCCTGGGCCTGCTCACCTTGATGCCCACCAGGGTTGGGCCTTGCTCCCCTACTCACGCTTCAGGGCCCAGCCCTGCTCCCCTCTTTGCCCTCCAGGGCCCTGCAGCCCTCCTTACAATCCTGGGCTAGGTCCCCCTCCCCTCCTCACCCTCCAGGGTCAGGCCCCACTCCTCTTGGGCACTGCCATCACTGCCTCCCGGGCATGGGCCCTGCCTCCCTCCTAGTCCATCAGGGCCTGTGCCCCATTCTCTCCTTAGCATCCAGGGCCTGAGCCCCAAGGCCCTCCTCACCCTCCAGGGCCTGAGCCCCATGGCCCTCCTCACCCTCCAGGGCCTGAGCCCCACGGCCCTCCTCACCCTCCAGGGCCTGAGCCCCATGGCCCTCCTCACCCTCCACGGCCTGGCCCCATTCCCTCCTCACCCTCCAGGGCCAGGCCCTGCTCCCCTCCTCATCCTGCAGGGCCTGGCCCCACTCCTTTCCTTGCCTTCCATGGCCCTGGCCCACTCCACTCGCTGCCCTCCAGGGCCTGACCCCACTCCACTCCACGCCCTCCAGGGCCTTACCCCGCTCCCCTCACTGCCTTCCAGGGCCTGGCCCCGTTCCCCTTGCCACACTCTAGGGCCTGGCCCCTCTCCCCTCCTTGCCCTCCAGGGCTGGGCCCTCCTCAACTCCTTGCCCTCCAGGGCCAGGCCCCATTCCCCTCCTCACCCTCTAGGGATTGGACCCTGCTCTCCTCCTCACCCTCCAGTGCCAGGCCCTGCTCCCCTCCTCGCCTTCCAGGGCATGGACCCCCCCTCCCTTCCTTGCCTTCCAGGTCCAGGCCCTGCACCTCTTGCTGTCATCCAGGGCCAGGCCCTGTTCCCCCTGCCACCCTCCAGGGCCGGGCCCTGCTGCCCTCCTTGCCCTCCAGTGCCGGGCCCTTCTCCCCCAGCTGCCTTCCCGTGCAGGACCGCGGTCCCCTACTCACCCTCTAGGGCCGAGCCCTGCTACCCTCCTTGCTCTGAAGGGCCAGGCCCCATGCCCCTCTTGAACGGGCATTGCTGTCCTCCAGGGCATGGGCCCCGTTCCCCTCTCTCCTTCCAGGGCCAGGCCTCGCATCTCTTGCTGCCTTACAGGGCCAGGCCCTGCTCCTCCTGCCGCTGTCCAGGGCCTACTCTGCTCCCCTCCTTTCCCTCCAGGGACAGGCCCTGCTCACCTCCTCACCTTCCAGGGCCTGGGCCCTGCTCCCCTCCTCGCCCTCCAGGGATTGACCCTGATCCCCTCCTCGCCCTCCATGGCCTGGGCCCAGCTCCCTTCCATGCCCTCCAGGGCCAGGCCTCGGTGCCCTCCTCGCCATCCAGGTCCAGGCCCAGCTCACCTCCTTGCCTCCAGGGCTGGGCCCCACTCCCCTACAGACCTCCATGGGCAGACCTTCCTTCCCTCCTCAACCTCCATGGCCCTGCCCCACTCCCCTCTGCACCCTCCAGAGCCTGACCCTGCTGCCTTCCTCACCCCCCAGGGCTGGGCTTTGCTCACCTCCTCACCCTGCATGGCCTTGCCCCACTCCGCTCGCTGCCCTACTGGGCCTGACCCTGCTTTCCTCCATGCCCTCCAGGGCCTTACACTGCTCCACTCACTGCCTTCCATTTCCTTGCCTGGATCCCCTTGCTACCAACCAGGGCCTGACCCCACTCCCCACCTCACCCTCCAAGGCCTGGCCCTGCTCACCTTTATGTCCTCCATGGCCAGGGCCCTGATCTCCTCACTACCTTCCAGGGTCTGGCCCTGTTCCTGTTGCCCTCCCGGGCTTGACCCCGCTCCCTTCCTCAACCTCCAGGTCTAGGCCCCCCACCTCTCGCTGCCTTCCAGGGCCGGGCCCCACTCCCCTCCTTGCCCTCCAGTGCCTGGCCCTTCTGCCCCAGCTGCCTTCCAGTGTAGGACCCTGGTCCCCTCTTTGTTCTCCAGGGCTGAGCCCTGCTCCCCTCCTCTCCTTCCAGGACCAGGCCCTGCATCTCTTGCCACCACCCAGGGCCAGGCCCTGCTCCCCCTGCCACCTTCCAGGGCCTACCCTGCTCCCCTCCTTGCCCTCCAGGGCCAGGCCCTGCTCCCCTCCTCACCATCCTGCACCAGTCTCCCCTCCCTTCCCTGCCCTCAGGGCCTGACCCTCTGGCTTCCTTGCCCTCCAGGGCCTGGGCCCAGCTCCCCTCCTCGCCCTCTCAGGCTGGACCCTGCTCCCCTTGTTGCCCTCCAGTGTGGAACCCCACTTCCCTCCTCGCCCTCCAGGATCCGGCCCCACTCCCACACTTGCCCTCCAGGGCCTGGGCCCTTCTCCCATCCTCGCCCTCCAGGGCCTGACCCTGCTCCCCTAGCCTCCCTTCAGTGTGGGACCCCACTTCCCTCCATGCCCTCCAGGGCCTGCCCCTGCTCCCTCTAATATTTCTAAAACCTATAATAAAGTTGATTTCTGAACTCTGGAAAATTGAAATTGTGTTAAGTAAAATGCAGATCATGCATTGGGGAGATCATGTGCATTTGGTCATAAAGTTTATAATCACTGTCTAGTTATAGTGGAGAGTGAACATGATGCATACAACTATGGTGAAGGTATGAACGCCTGAATCTAACACCGAACTGTACATGTAGTGTTAATGACCATGCTAAATTCTAACAGCATTTGAATCACTAGAAATATTGAAAAGCACCCAAATATTTATAAACCTCGCATCTGTATTCACAGTAATGATGCTAAAAGTACAATGTGTAACATTTCCCAGTACGCATTTATATGCATTTCCCTTTCACAAACACACATGAATGCACACACGTACAAATCATAGAAGCTTAGGGGTTCAGAAACAAATATTTATGGACTTTAGGCCTTCATTATAGTTTATTGACAATTGAAAATAACCAAGTTTAATACTAATTTATATGTGTTGACATTTTTGTAACTTTGAACCCACTATGCTTTCCAGCATGATTAGCAAGCCAACGTCTGCTACATCTTCAAAGGGACTCTTAAAAATCGAAAGTTTACAGTGGTGCTTAAAACAATCAATACAAAGTAGGTGGTTCTGAGAATGTCTATAAATAGTGTCAATTGCTTGGCTTCCAATGCATTTGATTGTTCTCCAAGCAGTGTGGGAACAGGTTATAAACTGCCCACTTTCAGTTAAAATAACTAAAATTGATTAATTGGTGTAATGCTAGTTTTTTTTGGTGGGGGATATACAATATATATTTTAAGTATGTTCTTTCAAATTAGTGAATATAAGTATGTATTTCCTAAAAATCAGAACTTATTCCAAAACAGGACATGATTTGGGGACATGAATTTTATTAGATGTTGCATTATATTAGATTTTTGTAGAATGGCAAATATTTTATTTATAGCTACCAACTCATAAAACATTTGTTGTGGAACAGTGTTTGTCTATATGCCTGGCATTGTAGAATGACAGGTACACAGTGCACTTAATAAACTGAAAGTTAAACTCTAAGTTACATCTTACTCAAACTGATTGTGCATCATATTGTAATTTTTCCTAGATATTCCATCATTATGTTTTACTATTCATTTCTGTGTTAGAGTTGTGTATTTTAGTATTTTCTTTAGAGTAGAAAAAAATACTCTGTTGCATCTCAAAGATTAAGGATAATGTTGAACAATTTAAAAGTCTCAAAACTATAGAATCTATTTCTTGGAGTAGTAGATTAATTTTGGGGTAAGAACGCTTCGAAATGAAGATGCTTTATTGTTGAAAGCCATCAATAAATGAAAGGAAGAATGTAAATAAAAATGGGAATATTTTCCAGTTCTGTGTAAGTCTCTAAAATATTTGAAAAGGAAAACCATTAAGTGCAAGATATGACAATATATAAGTTTTCCTTCAGATTAGAAATTTGATGCTAAATATTTAACATTTAATCTTTATTTAATAGTAACTATGAATGGAGGCCATTATGTTGACACCCTGTAAGCTGATTTCTAATCTTAAACTGAAAAAAAAAAAAACATGTTTTGTTCATTACCCCTTTTCCCTCTGTGCTTGAAAACATTGGCTTTTATCACAACACTGGAAGTATATCGAAGCCAGGAGCCAGGAGCCTCCTCCAGGTCTCCCACGTGGGTGCAGGGGCTCAAGGACTTGAGCTGTCTCCTACTGCTTTCCTAGGCCACAGCAGAGAGCTGGATTGGAAGTGGAGCAGCCAGGACTCAAACCGGTGCCCCTATTGAAACCTTAAGTTTTAGCCTTCCCAATAAAAATAAATCTCAGCATCATTTAAAATGTTGGCTACTGCCATTGAGTGAACACAATGAAATTTGACAAAACGCTTTACTTGGGTGTAAGATACCATTCTCTGAATCAGGTTTTATGATTACCTAAGTCATTTTTCATCCTTGTTTTATGAATATAAACATCGATACATTTTCTTAGCTTCAGATTTTGAACATTCCAGTGATGTAGCTCCTGCTAACAAAGTGCCTGAATATTTTGGTACCTCGTAGCCTTTTAATGTGTCATATCTGGTCATATACACATGGGATCTATTATAAGTTAGAGATAGTTTCCATAAATAGAATAATATTTTGGATAACCACTGATGAATTGAAGAATCTATTTCCTCTTCAAATTTTTTTTATTTTAAGGCAATTTTGTGAAATTGAATTTTACCTATAGTTTTATTTGTCTTTGTGTCCAGGTAAAGTAATAAATAAAATAGCTCCAATTATACCAAGCACCTGCATATGTTTCTAACTCTACCGTTTGAGGTAAGTCAGCTTGAGCATGTCCCGAATTGCACATCTCTTCCCTCTCTTATTCCCACTCTTATATTTAACAGTGATCACTTTTCAGTTAAGTTTCAGCACTTAAGAAGAATTGTGTATTGATTACAGTATTCAACCAAAAGTATTAAGTAGAACAAACAAAAAAAAATACTAAGAGGGATAACATATCAAGTTGCTCATCAACAGTCAGGGTGAGGGCTGATCAAGTCACTGTTTCTCATAGTGTTCATTTCACTTTAACAGGTTTCCTTTTTGGTGCTCAGTTAGTTGTCACCTATCAAGGAGAACAAGTGGTATTTGTCCCTTTGGGATTGGCTTATTTCACTCAGCATAATGTTTTCCAAATTCCTAACAGGGATCACTTTTCAGTTAAAATTTAAACACCTAAGAATAATTGTGTGTTAATTACAGAGTTCAACCAATGGTACTAGAACAAAAAAAAATACTAAAATGGATAAAGTATTACATTGTACATCAACAGTCAGCACAAGAGCTGTTTGAGAAACAGTGACTTGACCATGCTTGTATATTTTCACTAAAAATCATTAGAATACTTATTTTGAAAAGCTGAAGTCTTAGGCATTTGGATGAATATACAAAGGATTTTCAAAAAGTGGAAAACAAAATTAAAAGTTCATCTTGGTGCAAAAAGTTTTGAACACAGTGAATAATTTTTTTCAAAACACACACTTTCCCTAAACAGTTTGAAGACACTTCATACTTCAGCTGCCATCAAAACAAAAGTAGAAAAATAATTTTTTTCATTCCAGTCAATGAAGCTGGATTAATACAGTGATACTAACTTGAACTATAAAAATTTTTATGTATGAGTCTACCATGATGACACTATTTTAATAGAAATATTTATAATCTGGAATTATTTTTTCAGATTGTGTTTGCTCATCTTGAGATGAAGATAAAGAAACATGTCTCCCCCAAATCTTCCTCTTATTTCAACTCACTCCAATCTTCTTAGTATATTTGAATGGTAATGGAAATGTGTTGACTTTTGGAGTTCTGTACTTGTCCTTCCATTTTCTACAAGATGTGTCCATTATGTATCTGTTGTCTTTTTTGTTCCATTACTAAATTTGTGGAATTTTGGTATGAAATATGCAGTGAAACTCTCAAAGAAAATAGTATATAAGGCATTACAATTACTATAAAATCATCAAAGATTTTTCCCACATAAATATGTGTATATAAATGTATATGCATATATTTATATGTGTAAATGTGTATTACTATTTATAGGTACATGGCTCTTATTTTCCACTATGATGTCTATTTTAAAAATTAAAATGGAAATCATTTGTTGTGATGCACCTGTTAAGCCATTATTTGGGATGTCCATGTAGTGAAAAGTGTCTGCATTCCAGTAACACCTCCACTTCCTATACAACTTCCTGCTAATGCTCACCCTGGGAGGCATCAGATGATATATGAATTACTTGGGTCCCTACCACCCAGGTGGGAGACCTAGGTGGAGTTCTTGGCTCTTGACAATGGTATGGCCCACTCCTGGCTCCTGTGATTATGGGGAGTGAACCAATAGATGGAAGATAATCTCTTTCACTCTCACTGTCTCATTCTGCCTTTCAAATGAATAAAAACAAATAATATTTTAAAATTAAATGGTAAAATATCATATGGTGAGAAAGAAAACCAACAGACATACTTTCTCTTAAATACAAAGTGGTATTCCTAAAATCCGTACCTTCTTCTTAGAATTTTCTCATGTGAAATTGCACATGACAGATGGATGCTGGTATTACAGAATTACTGTACCTCCTCTCCTAGAGAAGAACATAAGCATGGATTTCAATAACTCTATTCCTCCCATTTTTTGTTTCCTGTCAAGATTATTTTGCATGAACATTTCAGTCTTGGTGACAGTGATTATGATGATGACTTATGTGTTTTTTTTTCCCCCATCTGGAATGGTCAATGGAGAAAATATCCCTATGGAGAATCTTGAAAGCCTCATTATTCCAATATCACAAATATGAAAATTGAGACACAGAAAAGTGTGGTTTTCCCAAATTCACACAAAAACTCAGAAGTGAAGCCAAGAGTAGTACCCAGCTCATGTGCAACAAATCTAATGCAACCTGCACTGTCAAGCTCACACGGTGATTAGGTTGAGTAGTGTAATTACCTAAAGTACAGGGCAGTAAAATAGTGCCCCATTTACCAACCCAGTCACAGCAAGTGGAGGAATTATGTGAATGAGAGTCACCATATGGATGGTGCTCACACATTTCACAATCCTGTACTTTACCTTCTTATCCTGAATGCTCTATAAACAGGAGTTTGAGATAGAATTCGAATAAAACAAACAAACAAACAAACAATCTCCAATTCTGGAGCCAGATAAAGACATAGGTGTTTAAATCCTGGGGTTAGAGTTTCCATCTGTGTCATGTTCATGTAAACTTTACCTCAATTGTCTCATAACACAGAAATAATATTCACAACATGAGGGGAAAGTGTATTAGAAATAAAGCACATGTAGCACATATGCTGTAAAATGATGCATGTAGTGATCCTTATGATTACTAAGCAGTAATAATATGTCAGTTCTCATCAAATATTTTTTAAAGATTTATTTATTTATTTGAAAGGCAGAGAGTTACAGAGAGACAGAGGCAGAGAGAGAGAGAGAGAGAGAGAAGAGAGAGAGAGAGAGAGAGAGAGAGAGAGAGAGAGAGAGAGGTCTTCCATCTGCTATTTCACTCCCCAAATGGCAGCAATGGCCAGGGCTGAGCAAATCTAAAGCCAGGAGTCTGGATCTTCTTCTGGGTCTCCCACATGGGTGCAGGGCCCAACAACTTGGGCCATCTTCCACTTCTTTCTCAGGCCATAGCAGAGAGCTGAATTGTAAGTGGAGTGACCAGGACTTGAACTGGCACCCATGTGGGATGTTGGCACTTCAGGTGGCGGCTTTACATGCTATGCCATAGTGCTGGCCCCTCACCACTGAACTTTAAATAAAATTTTTACTATATTGTATTATTTTTGTCAAATGGACTAGTGTATAGATAGGTAATAAATGAGACATGATGTTAATTGAGCCCAGCAGTGAAATCAGTGACAATCCCTAGTTAAGAATCATCTCAATTTCAGTATTGAATTGTGTAAATGTCTAAGGAATTTATACTAACTTTTATGAATCATGTGATTTGAAGGTTACAGATATAAATATGTCTTTGGAAATTTGAGTTATTTCTCATCACATTCCCATTGGCACTGTGTATTCACAGAAATTGAGATTATTTCAAATATGAAAATGCAGAACATTCAAAATATATTTGGTGTAAAGAATGAAATATATTTGGTGGTGAAGCAGACCTGTCCCTATCAGATACAAAGATCTGGTATAAAATTACAGCAAGAATGAAAATATGATGTTCTCACAGGTAAAAACTGACCCAGGGACAGAACAGAGTAGAGCAGAAAGCTGTGCATATGAGGGGCCTTCAAAAGCTCACGGATGGGGCCAGTGCTGTTGTGCAGGGCACTGAGCCTCTGTTTGTAACACCAGCACCCCATGTGGAGCACCAGCCTGAATTCTGGCTGCTCTGCTTCAGATTCAACTCCCTTCTAATGCACCTGGGAGAGCAGCAGACAATGCCCTGAGTACTTACTCCCTGCCACCCACATGGGAGACCCAGATGTGGTTGTGGGCTCATCTGACTGTTTGGGGGAGTGAACCAACAGATTGTAGATTTTTCTCTTTCTCTGTTTTTCTCTCTCTGTCTCCATTAGCATAACTTTCAAATAAATAAAATAAATCTTGAAAAAAAAAAACCCTCAGAAACCTCTTGGAACACAAGAAGTTATCATTTAATTCCATTTTCTGTGAGCTTTTTGAAGCCACTTTCTACATGGAAGCTTTATTTATGATGGAATTGAAACAGTGATCACTGAGAAAATGGTGACTTTTGTAAAAAGCTACCTAGAACAACTTGTTCTTTTTAAATATTTACTTATTTGAAAGAGTTACACAGAGAGAGGGGAGGGAGGAGAGAGAGAGAGAGAGAGAGAGAGAGAGAGAGAGAAAGGTCTTCCATCCACTGGTTCACTTCCCAGTTGGTTGCAATGGCTGGAGCTGCACTGATTCAAAGCCAGGAGCCAGGAGCCAGGAGCTTCTTCCCAATCTTCTCCATGGGTACAGGGGCCCAAGGACTTGGGCCATCTTCTACTGCTTTTGCAGGCCACAGCAGAGAGCTGGATCAGAAGTGGAGCAGCCAGGTCTCGAACTGGCACCATATGGGATGCTGGTGCTTCAGGCCAGGGCGTTAACACACTGCACCACAGCACCAGCCCCAAGAATAACTTGTTATTCACACAGAATAAATGGAAGCAATTGCTTTCCTCTGTATACTAAAATCAATACTTCCTGGTTTGACAGGTTCAATTTGAAACGCAAACCTTAAACTCTTTGAAGATGTAGAATACATTTGTGGCCTCAGCAGAGAGTATCCTTCAATAGCTCTAACCATTAAAGAAACAGTGTGTAAATATAAATACATTAAGAGCTTCTGATCATCAACAAATACTCCAAGAAAAGGGGAGGGCACAAACAGAGAAGATAGTAGCTTCCATACAACTGAAGGTATTAAATTAGGACTCAGACATTTTAAAGTCCATAAAGAGTAAGATTAATTTTAAAAAGAATTCATATCAGATACATGGAGGTATTTCATAGAAGCACTACAGTGGGCCATTATTTTTTTAAAAAACAAAGTTAATTTATCTATGAGAAATGAGAGAGAGAGGCCTTCCATACACTGGCTCACTCCCCAAATGGCAGCACTTCCCAGGTGCAGCAGCAGGGAGTGAATTGGACACAGAGCAGCCAGGACTCCTGGTGCTACAACATGGGACATGGACACCAACTCTGGATCCTAAACTCTTCAAAGATACTTGACTCCATTAGAAAACAGGAAAGGCAAGATAAAAGCACAGTAAGATAACATTTATTGTCATTGTGTTGTAAAAAAAAAAGTTGAACCTGGTAAATCCAAATGCCGGCAAAGATTTGGGTGAACTTGAACCTTTATGCCCTGGAATGAATAAGAAAACTAAACTGATACAACCTTGGGAAACATTTTTTTTTCACATTAGTGTGTTAAGATGAACATTCACATAACATTCAACCTATTGAAGCTCCTGGCTACGTATCCACATAGGTCCCATCACAGGTTTATCATGCAAGAGCAGAACCAAATACCTTGGAGACATCTTGAATGATAAGCCCTTTCTTGTCTACTTCTCTTTATTATTGTGATTTTTAATTTTTAAATCCACAAAGCAAAAACTGGGAGGTAATACTACATGAATTCCCTTTGTTGTTAAATATGAAAGGTAATCATTTGTGTGCATCTTGTGAATGTTTATAAATTATTATCACGAACATGCAACCTGATTAAACTCAGGGTGGGATTATTTTTATATTTACTCCTCTTCCATGGTGTCTTCGTGTAAGCCTTTGAGAATCTGGTTCTCCTAGGTAGACCAAAAGGAGAAAGCACTTGAATTTAATGTTCTGTTTTGCTTCGTGTGTTTCCTTTCTTTGTCCAAGGTGAAAGTGTGGTTCCAGAACAGGAGGATGAAGTGGAAGAGGGTAAAATTGGGCCAGCTGGGCACTGCTGCCTGAGAAAAGGAACTGGTGAACGTGAAGAAAGGAACCCTGTTCCCTTCAGAGATATCAGGGATCGGTGCAGCCATGCTCCAGCAAACAGGGGACTCTCCGGACAATGAAGACAGCCACAACAGCGACCACAGCTCAGAGCATGCACACTTATGATCCACACAGACAGGACCAACTCCATCCTCAGGAAAGAAGCACCGTGATGGCAAGTCTTACCCAACAGAGTTTTCACAGAGAGATGGCCATGGCCATGATTTTTAATATTATCAAATTCAGGCATCATGGGTCTGTTTTGCATGATTTATAGAGGATTTATACTAAGTGCCACTTATCAAAGATGCTTCCATGATGAAAATCAGAAGGTGAATTTTCTTTGAATAGTCAGAGATGTTTGGTTGTATGTATGACAGTGAGCAGGTATGTTTGCCTTTGCTTGTACTGAAAAATTAAATGGGTACCCAAGAACAAATTATGACACATTTCTACACGAGATGCCTCCAGAGTGAAATCGTTGAAGATGAACTTGCTTTAAACTCTCAGCTGATGAAAATAGGCACTGATAATGCCAGCCAGGCCAGCTTCCTGCCTTTTTATGCATGTGTCATTCTGAGACAATCCATATGTGCTTACTTGTGTACAAGTAGAGAAACATACAGTAGATAGAGTCTGATATGACATATTCTTGTACCACAGACAAAACAAACATTATGTTGCATTTACTATCAACTGCTGCTAATAAGTTTTTATACAACTTACCTAGCTCCTCCTTGATTCGTCCTATCTTGTAGCTTGAAAAAAAAATAGGATCATAGGCAAATCAGTTACTTTGTGGAAAGAGCTTTGTTGTGGCAGACACTGTGATTTTATTTCTATAAAATTAAAGCTGTTATGAATATGACTTAATTAACAAGAAAATGTTTCTTCCTTCTTAGAAATGGTGTCAGACAAGGAGCAAAGCCAAATGGGCTCCCCAAGGGGATAGACAAAACAATTCTGAATGTCTTCAAATTAAATTCAGTAAAAACACATTATTTTTTAATATGTGATGTATTCTTGCAGAACAACCATCTTTGTATTTTGTGAAAAATGTTTAATAAATGATCCTTTATAAATAATTTTGGTCTCCCCATTGTGATTTCCTTAATTTCTATAGATTTTAATATTCATATCTAAGAGTGCCCCAGACTCAAGTGCTCTGTGCTAATTCAGATCAAGATCATTAATGAATCAGTTTTTCATTTGTAGATTTATTATGGCAAGAAAAAAAAGCAATCTTTGGGTGATCGAAGAGAATCTAAACATCATCATACAGTAAACCATTTTCTTAATTTGAAGAATATGGCAAATTAATGTTTTTGTGTGTTTTACAAAGCAAAGAGAAAAGATAACACTAACTGCCATGACAAATAAGTAAAGTAGTCATATATTTTAAAATTTATGTTTAACATATGTGAATCAATCCAATAGTTGTTTTAAAGTCACACCAACCAGAGTCCTTGAGCTAGCAAATCAGAATCTTCATTGGAATGGACACCACAGGTATCAGAAGACAATGATTATAGGCTGGCGCCACGGCTCAATAGGCTAATCCTCCACCTGTGGTGCCGGCACATGGGGTTCTAGTCCCAGTCGGAGTGCTGGTTCTGTCCCGGTTGTTCCTCTTCCTGTCCACCTCTCTGCTATGGCCCGGGAAGGCAGTGGAGGATGGCCCAAGTGCTTGGGCCCTGCACCTGCCTAGGAGACCAGGAGAAGCACCTGGATCCTGGCCATTGTGGGGGTGAACCAACGGCAAAAGGAAGACCTTTCTCTCTGTCTCTCTCTCTCACTGTCCACTCTGCCTGTCAAAAAAAAAAAAAAGTCAATGAGTGTATTAACTTAATACATTTCGTGTCATGTATGGTTGTACATGCATTGGATGCCTAAGACCTACTTACAACTATATCATGTTATTTTTTAACTGTTCCACATTTAACCAGAAGAATTTGGAAACATTACCATCATTCCTCCTTCCTCCATAGAAATAAACTGAAAAATAATTCATAAACATTTCCAAATTACTCATTATTTGATTTTATTTCAGAATTAGATTGACAAAAATATATTGATTCTATTCTAACTTAGTCTAGCAAGACATATATGAGTATTCAAGAAATACAGTAAATTATATTTTTGTATCATATTTTCTCTTTGTGAGATACATTTTATCACACTGGTAAACAATATATCTAATTTAATTTTGGGGAGAGCCTGTTCAAATTAAAGGTACAAAATATGCCTTTCTATCAATCACTTGAAGGAATTAAAATTATGCTTGTATTGAAGATATCTATTTCTTTTTGTAGAATAACTCTGCCTCTCAAAGAAAATAAATCTTAAAAAACAATTCTATAAAACTATTCAGTTAACATTTGAGGTAAGTGATACTTAGGTGAAAATATGATGTTTGCAATATAAATACAAACAACTGGCATAGTTATTATTTGAACCATCTGGGAAACAGTGTATTTTGCTGTCAGTCCCTTATGCTGCATTCTGTTTGTAAAAAGCAATTCAGAAATAGAAAGAAAGCCACAGAGAATTTAGCATGAGAGCGGTAGTCTAAACATTCCAAACCTGAAAACGTTTGAAGTCTGCAGAACTGATCTGCAAATGCTCTTGAGAAAGTGGTGTTTGTTGTGGTGGTTGTGGTTGTTTCCTGATTTCTTACCTAAAACTGGCCAGGAAAACTGAGTAATAATTCTCTCACAGTGTACCTCAACGTTCACCCTTTGCCAAATAATGCTAACAGGAGTGGACAAAGGAACAAACGTGGTCCCAGAAAAAATAGATTGCTACATCAAGTTTTGAGAGCCTATAAAAATTCAATAAGAATTTTTGAAATAAATCTAATAATTCTCTATTTACATGTGTTTTCTCAATAATCTCATTTTGACATTTGATATGCTTAGATATAGATACATTTAAAAATTAAAAAGTTTTTCTTGTATGCCTTATTTCCCACCTTTAGTAACTTTTTAAATTAAATCTGGCTTCAAACTGTGATCAAGAATTCCAGAAAATATTTTATTATATCATGGTTAGTAATTCCCCATTAGAATATTGTTTACTTTTTTAAAAATACAGTTTTCAGAAACAGTTCTTAAAACAAAATGAATTTTCAAAGATAATTATTGTCATATCCAGTTCCTGTTAGGGGCTTTATTTTGTATTTCTGCCCTTTTGGAAATGGTTCATTGAGATAAACATTCATTTCCTTTATTTAAAGACTAATCACATGATTTTAGAACACATTTTTGTAGAACTATTCAAGCATCCACTGCTTTTGCAAATGTGTAATACTGATGGTTGAAAATATTTTTACATCTTTTTTATGTTCAGTGTATATTGATATTGAAAATCCATCACTTATCTAACCTGATGAAACATGAAACTCAAAGTATTATTTTATTCAAGCTAATACTTCTAATTAAATAATTTGCTTGGCTTTCATTTTCTTTGTGAGAGCTCCATTTTCATTGGCTTTGCCAACATTGGAATTGGTAATTTTTGTGATCCTGGGCCTATGTAATGTAAGAGAGTGGTGTTTAAAAAGTAGTAAGCAGGAGCGAGCATTTGGCCAAGTGGTTAAGAATCCCCTTGAGACAACCTTGCTACAATGGAATGAGGGCTTCTGAGTGTTGTTTCCATTTCTGTCTTCAACTTCCTGCTAATGCAGACGCCGGGAGGCAGCACAGGAGGGCTCAAGGAATTGGGTTCCTGCCACACACACACACAGTAGAATTAATCTCTGCCTTTCAAATGGATACATGAAAAATAAAATATAGGAATATAAAACGTGGAGAAAGTTATGCCTAAAATTATCAGGCTTTAAAAACACACACCCTGTATATTCATTAGACAATCGGCTCCTAACACTGCTACACCTGCAGGTCCAATTGGGACTGTCAGATGGGCCAACATCAGCGTGACCAGTGCCAGTCCTGCCGGCTCAAGAAGTGCTTCCAGGGGGGTTGTGCAGAAGGAGGGTGAGTGGCCCCCAGCCCCGCTGCAGCCTGGTGGGGGCGTGCGGTAGGTGGGTGAATGGCACCCCAGCCCCGCTGCCTGCGGAAGGAGGGTGAGCGGCCCCCATTCTCCCTGCAGTCGGCCGGTGGGGCCTGGGGTTGGCACCTGCTAACCACAAGACCAGGGCCATTGCACCATGTACTGGCACAGGAATCCAATTACAGCTGTGGCCAGGGCCCGGTCCCCCTGCCCAGGCCTGGCCACTGCGTCCTGAAGAAATACACAGACACACACAGACACACACACATACATGCACACACATGCACAAACACACACGCACATACACACATTTATTTGGTTTCCGTTGCTCCCACCCCTGCCTCTGTTTGCTTAAGGCGGGAGCTGGGCAGCCTGAGCCCATGGGGACCCCACTCTTGTTCTCTCCCCTGGAGCCCCGGCCTGGCCCAGGGCAGACACAGTCCAAGCAGCACGGCCCTAAACTCCAATGCCCTGCAGTTTCTCCAGGCTCCACATGGGGGGGGGGTTGGTCTCGGGGTAGGGGTAGAGGGGGTTCCAGCCTCAGGATAAATGCGCACCCCATACCTGCTTTCTGTCTGCTGGTTCCTCCCAGGGTCTGACTCCAGTCTCTCACGCTTTTGAAGTCCTCCCCCCTCACTGGGTCTGTGAGGGAAGCTGATAAAGTCGGCACAGAACCCCTTGGAAAAGCCACTCCCTTCAGCTTGGGGGGTTCACCTGTGCCCCCTCTTCTCACGTGGCTGATCTGAAATCCCGCTGGCCCGGCCCTCAGGTTGGCGCGACTACAGCCACGTGCTGCACCCCCCACCCCATGCACGGCTTCCCACCATCACAGCTCACAACCCCTTACTTTGCTTTGGAACCCAATGACTTCTCCAGGGACTCTCTTTGTCTTGTGCACTGTTGTGCCCCAGGGTCCCTGCATACAGTTGGCCCTCAGTAAATAGCCCATGGCTTCAGTTGCCACCAGGGTAGCTTTTCCTTCATGGCCAATACTGCTCTAAAGCAGATTTGTTAATTCGGAGGTTGGTGTTAAAGAGGGAGTTGTGGGTGGGATTTGAAGCCTATGCCCTAGCCTGGGCTGGAGGTGGAAGAGTTGGGGTGGGGGTTTGAAGAAGGGGGGGGTGAGCAGGTGCAAAGGCCCTGGGGTAGGATGGGGGGAGTGGTGCAGGCGGGGCTTATAACCAGGGCAGCACTTTTGGGGCCCATTTGGCCACTCCTACTGGACAGCTGACTCCCACCCTCGCAGGACTCAGCCCCACCTCCAGCCCCGAGTCCCCTCCAGGGCTGGTAATGTGCCCTGCGTGAGGCCGGCCCAAGGCTGGAGCTCATGGATTCGATCAGGCCAGGTGGGCGGGCTCATTAAGGCTCCTTAATTTGCCCTGCCTGGCAGCCAGCCCTCCCTGCCTCGGTTTCCCTCCTCCCACCTCACCTGCTTGCTGAGGGCGAGGCCCCTGCTCCCAGTCCCACCTGGGGAAGACCCCAGGCTCCCTCCCCACCTGGGCTCTCCTGGAGCTGGGGTGGGGTGGGGACTCTGAGAGAGCCTAGCTCTGGCTGTCTTCTCCCTGCCCTTCTCTCTCTCCCTCCTACCGCCCCGCAGCGCTGCAGCGCGGCCATATCCCGCAATCGCTGCCCGGCAGCGCTGGCCGCCTCCTCTGGCAGCCCTCCTGGCTGGGCGCTGGCGCGGTGGCGGACAGAGGCTTGTTCCTGGTGCAGCTGCGAACGCGGCAGGTGCGGGCGGCGGCGGCGCGGCACTGGGCATGGACCAGGTGAGAGCGCTGGCGGCGCGGCTGCTCTTAGCGCTGCCCCTGCCTGCACAGGGCGCCATCGCCGGCCGAGCGCGCGTGGCCTTCCTGGACCAGGAGCAGGTGGAGGAGCTGGGCCGCCTGCAGGGGGACTCGGTGGAGTCCGGTGCCTCAAAGTCATGGCGCTCTCGGCCTCCGCGGGCGCTGAGAGGCTGCAGGAGCAGCGCAGGTGGCTCTCATGGAGT